CGTGCGGCCGTGGCTGAGGCGGGAGGGGGGTTGCGGGGGCTGTGCTGAGGGGCGGCCTTGGATCCTGGGGGGGCTCCCTGCGCTCATCAGGTGGGGTGAGGGCTTGTGCCTGGCTCAGCCTCTCTGCGGACTGCGAGAAGCCCTGCGGTGCCTGGGAAGTGGGTTTTGAAAGGCTCTCAGGGCTGTGAAAGTTGTATCCTGCAGGGCAGGGCTGCAGGGGACTGGGGTTTAGACCAGGGTGCGAGGCTCAGGAGCTGCTCTGCCATTCAGACATCGTAACAGGACCAAAATGCGTGCAAAACAGTGTTGGAGGTACAAATGCTAAAAAGACTAGTGAAGATTAAAACCATTAATTAACTTGGGGAAGCTTTTGGTAATTTAAAATTCTGGCTCTTTGCAGGTGGTTCTTGGTTTGCTATAATGGTGGGGATTAGGGCCTGTGTTTGAAGAACCTGCGCAATCTGCCTTTTGTGTGGTTCCCCCTTACCCGCCTGAGCATTGCCCCTGAGGCTAGGTGCCATTTGGAAAAATCCTCTCCCTCAATCTGGCCTGTGCGTTGCCCTCAGGCGTGGTGGAGAGTTAATCCAGCGCAGTGCTTAGTCTCATGGTGTCAAGCCTTTAGCCTTTTCATGTCTTGTCATAAAGTTTGGATCAGCTCCATGGTGACCTGTGCTAGCTGCAGTGTCTTTCCACCAGCTGATGAAGTTGGGTTTAATTCTTTTTTCATGGCTTAGGTAAGCGCAGTGTAACCGATGGTATCAGTGAAACAGAGATAAAGGGGGGCTTGCTGATGGCTAGCAAAACGCTGCCCTGATTTCAACTTTCTTAACTTTCCTTTTCGTCAGGAGAAGACTGACGTGGAGGGAACGCTGTTTGTTTACACAAGGTGAGGACATAATGCTTTAACGTCTGCAGGTGAAACCTGTGGATGTGGAAAAGCTAGCTGGGATGGAGCCTGGCTGAATGGAGTAAGATGTTCCTCCTTGTTCAAGAGTGAAAAGAAACTGAAATTGGCAGAGGCAAATATGGGAAGAAAACACTGGGAAGGAGACATCACCTTGTATTTGAATAAGACTTCCAGATGTGATTTAAATCTCAATATGGGTAAACCTTAGAAATCTGTTATGTTGTTTTAAATAGGATGTAGCATTTGCAGTTTAAAAGGTGTCTGAACAAAAAAAAAAGTGAAATAAATAATGATATTCCTTAAACTAAGGGAATGGTAGAACTTACGAAGTATTGTGTTCACTACTTAGGGAGTTTTCATACTGCTTGTGTCTGATTATTCATTTTTCATGCATATTTCATCCAACATTTTGGATGGTTTTAGTGCTTTCTTTTAGCAGCAGCTCCTGTGGCGGCTTTTCAAAGCATTGGTTTCATCATTTATTCTAGCATGTACTTTAGATCTGTCATGAAGCCTGCCCTACATTTGGGTTTCCAAGTTAGTGCCCCAGCATTTCCCTGTGACTATTGCTAAAATCAGAAAATAATACAGTAAGCAGATCTTGCAGTAGCTGCTGGGATGGGACACCAAAGCAGAAACTTTCTTCAACATTTATGTTGATGAGGATCTGGTAGGAGAACTGAGAAAGCAAGAGATTGTTTTGAGAAGGTGAGAGATGTATGTGTGAAGTGACAGGGAGACCCAAGAGACTGTGAACTTTGTGTGAAGTGGGAATGCTGATTTCAAACTTTTGAGCTTTTTTGTACCAGCAGTGGAAATTGTCATCAGTAATTTTTCTAAGCTGCTTTCAGGTAAGTGGAGATGAGATGCTGTTATAATTACCACCACAAGAGGAAGGAACTGGCCCTTAGTTGTGCTAGCAGTAGTTGGAGGTGGCTAGTTGTGTACTGCAAAACAGAAGTAGTATTTCTCTGGTATGTTGGTTTTAAAACTCCAGAACTGATGTGTAACCTGGCACTCCTAGCATCTCTGATCCTTCACCGTTCTTTCTGTTGGCTGAGGAAGTTTCCATTTACAGCAGAGATTGCTACCCTGGCTGCCCTATAGGCAACAGTATGGAACAGGTTTTGAGCTGTCAGTAACATCATACATTGCCCTCCCCATCAGTTTTAACTTTCATTCCCTGTGGCTTTGAACAAAGTCTTAAAGTCTTGTGGAAAAAACATTGCCAACAGACTGTAGGTTGGAGACCGCTGGTGTTGCCTTTGTTGCTTCTCATTACTGTTGTGACAATGTAAAGTAATGTGACCATTTTACTTGAGCTGATTTATTTATCCACCTGTCTCATCTTTGCAAATTCTGAGGAACGGTCAAAAAATCAGACTTCCAGCTGGGTTAACACCAGTGGAAGTGGACTGGTTTTTTGTTTGTGTGTTTGTTTTAAATAAAGTAGTGACTGTTGCAAACAGGGATTCTTGTTAAGGGTTCCACTTTTGTTTAATTTTCTGTTGACTCCAATCCTGTAATGCAGGTTCCTGTGCTTTGGATTTCATAGAGAAATCCACCCACCAGCAATTACCAGAGATGCCACTTTTCCCAAATGTTTAGCCATCATCTTTTCCTTTATTGTTATACTTGGTTTGAAAGTAATATCTCCTGTCAGGATCATGATACGTTTAACAGCTTGCTTTAATTAAAATTATCTAAGTGACTTGAAGTGTAACCCCCATGAATGAGCATAATGATTTAGAGTCGAGGAATCATAGAACTGTTTGGGTTGGAAGGGACCTTTAAAGATCATCTCGTCTAACCCCCCCCTGCCACCATCAGGGACATCTTCAACTACATCAGGTTGCTCAAAGCTCTGTCCAGCCTGACCTTGAACACTTCCAATGATGAGGCTTCCACAGCTGCTCTGGGCAATCTGTTCCAGTGTCTCAGCACCCTCACTTTTGTTCTTATGCTTTAGATGGTATGGAAAATCCTATCTGGAATGACTGCTACTACCTGCAGTTGTTAACCTGAGTGTTAAAAAATATACTTGCTCCCGCTCATGACTGAATCGTTCTAATTGCTGTTTTCTACTCCAGCGAGAAGCTATAGGGTAGATAGTGGTGGTTAGATAACATGATGCTGATGGTCTGGGACAAAGTGGCGTTTTGTAACAACTTGCCTGTTCAGAAGTTGTAGGCCTTACAACTTGAAGTGAAAATTGGACATGCAGATATGATTATGCTTTGCCTAAGTCATTGGACCTCAAATGGTAGTATTGCAGATGTGGCATACTCTCTGTAGCTACTGTGAGACCAGTGGTGCTTCTGTTATTCCTCATACATAATGTAGGTTTTTGACATAATTAAAAGGATTGCATGAAACACTGCAGGAGTCAGTTGTTATTTCCTTGGCAACCAAATTAGATTTTTGTAGTATCTCTTAGAAATAATAATAATAATAAAAAAACTAAAACATTTTAGAGAACTATAGAACAAATTCTAGTAATTTCTTTCTTTCCTTGACTTGATGTGATTTCTACTTGATAATTTTCAGATCAGCTTCTCCAAGGCATGGTTTCACAATTATGAACAGACTGAGCATGGAAAATCGAACAGAACCTATTACTAAAGACCTCGATTTCCAGCTGCAGGACCCTTTTCTACTGTACAGAAATGCCAGATGTAAGTATGTGATATGCTGGGTTAAATACTGAAGAAGTCAGCTCCTTCAGAGTCTGTTCTTTGTTAAGGCAGTCCAAATGATTAGACTGCAGCTTTCAAGGGCTGAAACTAGCTGGTTAACAGTTACAATTGAAGGAATACATTTTGGTTTTTGACGTGCTGCAAGAATTGCTCAGCGCTTCCTAAAATGCCACTCTTCTGAAGTATTAGAATGTGCTTAACTGTAATCTCTTCATTTAACTGACAAATAGTAGACTTTTATGGTTGTGTGTATGTGATAGGTGTAGAGACTCACAGAGATATCGTGTGTTCTGAATATACCCCAGTCAGTGTTGGGAAGTCTTGCCATAAAGCAGATCTACTGAGTGTTGGAGTAACACAGTACTGTGTTTATCTTACATGATTATTTTTATACAAGAATTAGCAACTGTCAGGCAAACTCAGAAATAAGTGGAAGACATGAAAAAGCTGTACTTTTACATGCAGATATACATACAGACTGTTACAATGTGCAATTATATGAGAATGAGCAGTTATAAATACACAGTTTATATCTGTACTTGGAAGCAGAGCTGTAGTATGATCTATACTTTGTGCTTGATGCGTAAAAGCAGATTGCAGAAATGTTTTATGAAAACTAGGATGCAGAAGTGTTCCCTCTGGATGAAGCAAAAGCAGAGGAAATTTGTGGCATGCAAAGCAGCCCAGTTTGATAATCTGCTAGACCTTTTTACTTCATAAACTTATTGGAGTTGGAAAGTATATCAAGAGGGAATCCTGTTGTTCTCACACACTGTGTGGTAGAAGCAATAGAGAAATAACATTTTAAATAACCTAAATGAAACTTCCATTTTTGAGAGTATTTGATAGGCTGACAAAGAATTGAAATTCCAAAAGAAACTGAAAAGAAATGCAGACATCTCCAGGCTAACCTAGACTAGACCCAAACATGAGGATTTTAAGTACCATGAGACCTCTTTATCCCACCTGATTTTGAAGATGTATATATAATCTTTTTTTACCTTATTTTGAAATTCCATTAGGAGTTCATGTATGTATACACTAATATCTACCTCTTGAAATCTGATGTATTAATTTTTCATTTTTGTTGAGACAAGTAGTATAAAGAGTAATTAGAAGTTGTCATATCTCTATGCTGACATGAAGTAAGACAATCTTTAGTCTGATTACTACATGTAAACTGTGAGTCGTTTGGGTTTTTATTAGGAGAAAAATTGGGAGTTTTGAGGGGTGTAAGCGGTTTGTTCACTAAGAGATGTCAGAATTTTAGATTTGCAGGGTCTCGAATAGAAGTACTAACGTGATTCTGAGCAGCGAGCCTATGTTCAAGTAACTTGTCTGAGGCTTTTGGCTGATTGTGCAACAGCAAAATGCAGAAGGCTTCTTTTCTGGGTTCTTCGGTCTAGGCAATGGTTCTTTTAGGGTAGTTACTGCTTAACCGTGTTTGCACAGCATCAAGGCCGCCTGTGTTTCTCACACTGCCCCACCAGTGAGTAGGCTGGGGGGGGCACAAGATTTTGGGAGGGGATGCAGCTGGGACAGCTGACCCCAACTGACTGAAGGGATACACCAGACCATATGACATGCTCAGCAATAAAAGCTGGGGAAAGGAGGAGGAAGGGGAGTGTTCGGAGTTATGGTATCTGTCTTCCCAAGTAACCATTACACATGATGAAGCCTTGCTTCCCTGGAAAAGGCTAATACCTTCCTGCTGATGGAAAGTAGTGAATGAATTCCTTATTTTGCTTTGCTTGCACACAGAGCTTTGCTTTACCTATTAGTCTGTCTATTTTCAACCCATGAATTTTCTTTCTTTTGCCCTTCTGATTGTCTCCCCAGCCCACTGAGGGGAGGGAGCAGCAGCTGTGTGGGGCTGAGTGGCTGGCTGGGGTGAACCCACAGCACCTACATGGGACCCTTTCTTCCTTACTGTGTATTTCAAAGTCTTAGCTACATAAAATAAAGGAACCTCCTCAACATTAAGTATCTGTTTTCACTAGGGTCTCGTCCAAACATGGTTCAGAATATCCATCTTGAATTTTCTATATGAATATTTTCCTTGTGTTTTACTTTATTATACAATTTGTCTTTATAATTTTTGCAAAAATAAGGCTTCAGGCTCCTTATTAAATGGAGTTTTCATTGAAAACTGGTGGGTTTAGGCCCTAATCTTATATTATTTTTATCTCCTGCTTACAGATAATAACAAGAGTAGTGATACCTGTTTACTTGGCAAAATAGCGGACAGTTTGGCAGTAATACTTAACAGGATCTGGAAACAAGTTATCTTTTTCTAACCTTTTGTTTGACTTGGTTACTTCTTACTCTATTTTTCATACATACTTTCTTATTAGATACAATAAAACTAGCAGAGTTTCCTCTGTTTTTCTGATTGGTATAGTTGCTTTCCCATGTAACAGGACTTACATTTAGGTTTTGTAACAATGTAAATTTCAGAAAAATACAAAAGCAAGCATTTTGAGGAATAAACAAGTCCTGCCCAGTGTTTTGTTTCTTCCAATATTCTGAATGTTTGTTGAAACGAACTTCATTTCAGTATAGCTGAATATCTGTGGCTGGTTGTATCACACAGTCTAAAATAAATGCTCTTGGCAGCAAAACATAGTACTTGTATACTGGGCAAGTCCTCCGACATTTTGTCACGTTACAGCTCTCATTTTGTAAAGATTGCTTTGCATTCAACATATGATTACAATAGAAAAAGTTTTCCAAAATTATACACAGTAAAATAAGTTTTAGGAATACATAAAATAAGAAAAAGGAATATTTTGATCTTACATTTTGCTTTATTGTATTTTGTATTTCTTCTATTGTTCCATATGATCTTTGTCATCTACAGCTGAAATACTGTCTAAACACCGTGTTGCAGTCACCTACAGTCTAATCCCAGGATTTTTCAGGCTGGATTTGGGATCCATGCCAGTTACTATTTGCACTGATCCACAATTTCACAGAAAAGTTTAGTTTGGAAAATCTGTTAGGCTAGAGCTAGGGTTATTCATTTCAAAGCTGGGACGGAAGCTCAAATTACAGTTTTTAATGCCAGCAGATATCCTTCTCCACCAAGAGACAGAAGGTTTATGGATAAAATAGGTATTTTGAAAGTGACCGAAAACTTATGCAATTTTAGACACTTTCTTTCTGAGAGCAAGACAGTTTTTGTTTAGATTATCTAATAATTCTAAGGGTTTTAAATAATTTCCTGGGTTCTATATTTGCGTAATCTTAACTACATAATAACTACTTTTTCCTTAATCTTTGGTGATATTTATTGTCAAAACCAATGTTTAGAGACTGTTGCTTAAGACTCAATGCTGATTAATATGAGATAGTTCAAAAGAAACACATAACTGTAAATTATTGGTTAAAATAACTTCGTTTTCTCCTTTCAGCACTGATCAGCTATGTAATAGTGTACTTGCAGCTATCCAGAACTGTATATTGTACCAGCTGTACATGGGCGTATGCTGGGTTAGTGAATTATTTCTTCAGTCAACTGATTTATCGTTTTATCACTGAATACTGTTTTTCATGTTTACAGGACACAGCACTTGGTGAATATAAAGTTGCATATCTTAGAGCTAGCTTCACCTTGAGCATTTCAGCTGCCAGAAAAAAATACAAGATCCTACCTTATAACAGTTATTATTCTAATTATGACAGTGGTCTAATACAGGCTAATTGGGTGCTTTTATGCTATAGCAAGAGAAGAAAGAAACTGTGTAACAGATCAACAAATATTCTATATCTGACTAGATTCTACACCTATTTGAACATAGAAGTTAATTTTCATTTCTGTGCCTCATTTGTAGCAAGGCCTTTGATCATGTCATCTCCTAGGCTTGAAATTGAATGAAGCTTCCTAGTGAGATGTGGCATATACTACTGAATTTGAGCTTTTGCAGAGGGTCAGGAAGTGGTACAAAAGCGGACCAGACATGCCTGGTTTTGGTAAAACTGTCTAGATACACGATATGTACATAACCTCATGCTAGTTTCAGTTGTCCAGTTTAACTTGCCACCATATGTTTATCAGAACCCTGAAAATTTAATATTATCTTCTCAAATTCACACACTGTAAAGACATCCAGTAGGTGGGATGGGATGGGAGGGAGAGTGAAGTTTGCCAGCTGTCCAAAGAAATACCATAAGTTTTGGCTTTTGTTTGTGGTTTTTTCTGTTTTTTTTCCTGTAGGTCATAATTATTTATCTATGAAAATTTTTCTAAATATATGCTTGGGGGCAAGTGATAGTAAAATGTTTAGGAAAAGATAATGGTGTATATTTTTCTTAAACTATTATTTTTCATTCTTAAATTCTATGTTACAGCATCCTAGAGCCCTCTCAAATAAAATAACTCATCTTCTTGGAGACTTATTGTGGCTCATTTCAGTTCAGCTTTCTAAGTAAATACGTCCTGGTAAAAAATACTAAATAGATAACAAGTGTCCCACTTCTGTAGGCATTTCTTAAGGCCTATGGACCCTGAAGTAACATTTCTCTTGTAAAGAACATCCTAGTTTGAAGATTATTAGAAGCTTACTTCCGAAGGGAAAGCAGGAGACAACTGTAATAGAATTTGAGTGATATGTAAAAATGAGTGTGTCATGAAAAACAATCTTCTTTTGGATACTATAGTGTCTTTTTTTTACCCTGAAATATGTTCTTAGTCTATACTACATTGTATATTCTGTAACTCAATATTTTAAATCTCTTCTTGCTTCTGAAATGTGTTTTTTATTTGAGAATGAAACCAGCATTTGGTGGTTAAATTTACTTGTGTATATATTTAGATTTAGCCTTCTGCATATTGACCAATAAACAACTACTTGCTCAATTGTTGCTATTGAAACAGGCAAAATAGATATTCCAGGCTTTGTTTTTACGATGTAATAGAGTTTCTGTTTGGTGTTTGGTTTTGGTAAAAACGTCAGTTTAAAATGGAGAGCCTTATTTAT